TTTTTTTTTCCTTTTTCTTTTTTCTTTTTTTCTTTTTTCTTCTCTCTTTTTTTCTTTTTTTCTCTTTTTTCTTTTTTCTTTTTTCTTTTTTCTTTTTTCCATTTCCTTTTTCTTTCCCCTCCCCCTTTTTTTTTTTTCCAGTCGACGATAGTCCGTCTGTCCTTTCCGTCCCTTTCCCCCCTTCTTTTCCTTTTTTCCTTTCCGTTGTTTGGTTTCTTTGTTTCCTTTTTCTTTTTCAAACAGGTCCTCCGAGAAGAGGATCCAAAACACAAGGATCGGAACCCCTGCCAGAGCTAGAGATACAGGGATGCTTAGCCAGGCACTCTCGACACTCGGTCCAAGGCTTAAAGGGCCAGGCATGGGGTCGCACGGGCTAGTTCTGCATCGATGATATCATGTACGTACCGGAGGCAACGCAATCATCCGTGAGCAATTAGCAACTGGGCGCCAAATTTTTTTAAAATTTAGGCCGACCGTCTTTTCAGGAGTAGTCAGAAGCAGCAGACTCGAAAGATAAGTAGGCATAGTATTTAGGAAGGATAGTAACAGAGACCAAGCATCATCATCGAAGCAGACGCGAAAATCCGCCGGCATTTTTGGAGGACTTTTTGACGCACTCTTTTCTGAACAGACACGGCGGCCAGCATGGACTTCCCCTTGGACCTCGATGCGCTTGCGGCCCGGAGGGAGGTGCACAATCAAGAGACGGTATTCTTCTTAGCCGCAACTCCTCGATCCACACATCATGGAAGTGCCAAACACCGATTGAGCAGCTTCCAGCAGCAGCAGAGCAGCGCCTCGCATCCCTCAAAACCCACCCCCTTCCTACTATGCCCTCGCTCTCATCCCACTAGCATTCGCAACCTTGTTCGCACTAGCGCTCATCCCCAACCTTCTCGTCCCACATAGATGCGGCTCCTAGCGCACGACCGATAAGCATGGATGGTGCGCAATAGTGTCCCATCGCTCTCTCTCCCTCCCTCACCATTTCACTTTTAGTGGCGCTGCTAGCCTTGTTTTGCCTCGCGACACTACCAAACTTTATGCTAGCCAGATCCCTGATCGGAGCGCTCACTACAGAGGAGACACTGCGAGCGCCCTCTCGCGAGCAAGCAGCGCATCTCTGTGCAACATTTGCCTATGTAAGTGCAGCATCTGAAGCAGCAGCCACCTTCTTTTGCGCCATCGCAGATGAGGGCATCGCGATAGCTGAGCAGCAGTAGCAAGCCATGGCGGATAATGGCGACAAAGCAGAAACAACTATATGCTGTTTTCTAGCGTATCTGGCCTCTTTGGCCCGTCTTGCCTTTATCCTTTTCATCGCGGCGCTACCACTCGAGCACGGCACTGACATATCAGCGTGCGGAGAGCAAGCAGCCAGCGGCTTCCAGATGACTAAGTCGCAAACCCCTCCGCCCCCTCCCCCTCCCCCTCCTTCCCCCCTGCACTCCCACCACTCGATCAAATGGCTACCCTCTCTCCCCCTCTCTCTTCCCCTCTCTCTTGCAATCACCGTTCTCACCGCCATCCCCTTCACTCCGTGTATCGTCTTAATTTCACGAATCTTCCGAGACCAAGGAAGACTATTGCCCTCTGACAACACTGCATTGTGGCTGCAGCAGAAAGGCCTCAGGGATAAGCCACTCCCTCCCCCGAGTCGGCAAGCGGACGCAGCGCACAGATGCGAAGATCTGTCCAGTTAGAAGCTTGATGCGGGTTCTTCTTCTTCTTTCTCCTCCGCTTCCCCTCCTACCCAGATCATTCACAATCACGTTACCCTCGCCCGCTGCTCTTTGCTGAGAAACATTTGTGTTTTGAACGATTGACGTTATAATAATTGCTTCATTTCCGTGTTTAAGCTTTCTTTTTGGATTGAAATGGTTATCCCGCTTGTTTTTTACGCAATGCCTCTTTCATCATGGGAATTCATGTGGGTGATCCTTCTAGGAAATCGTACGAAAAAGTCTGTTCAAGACCTAGTGTCCTTGTTTGGTTACGGCACGTGACTGTCCTTCGTAAGTAGCGGTTGGTATCTTCCAGTCCCGCTCGAAAGCATGACACGTGACGTAATCTGCTGATTATTTGTCCTTTTGAAAGACACTTAGCTTCTTCTTCTTCTTGTTGTATGACTCCAGGAAGTTTATATTGATTAGTTTACGTAACAAACATGTGTGCTGGAAAAAACCATTGTATAAACTGCTCACCTTTCTTTTTCGACAAATGACCTCTCTTTTCTTTCCTTTCCTTTCTTTTATTTTCTTTTCTTTTCTTTCCTTTCTTTTCTTTTCCTTTTTTTTTCTTTTTTTTTTTTTCCTTTTTTCTTTTCTTTTCTTTTCTTTTTTTATTTCCCCTCCTTTCCTTCTCTTCTCTTCTTTTTTCTCTCTCTTTTTTTCCCCCTTTTACTTGCTGTTTCCATTTGTGAAATGGACATCGTAGGACTCTTTGTCGCAATAGGAACCCTTTGTTAGTAATAAGCCGCATCACGCGACGGTCCTTCTCAACGACGAATGCTCCAATCCTCGTTTCTGAAGGTACGCCAAGTGACATAGCAAAAATTCCCTGATTAGTCACTAGTCTTACGATATCTCGCATGCATCGTTGAAAATTGTAACGATAACACAACTTCCTTGATTAACTATTCACCCTCCCTTTTGTTGAATGACTTCCTTTCCTTTTACCTTTTTCCCTTATTTTCCTTCTTTCTTTGTTTTTCGTCTTTTGCTTGCTGTATCACGAAGGAAGACATTCGTGAAATAGTCGTCTCTATCGCAGTAAGAACCTTAATAAGCCACGGCGCGTGACGGTCCTTCGCTATATCGGACGAGAATCTCTAATTCTAACCCATATCCGAAGGCGCGGCAAGCGACGCAGTAAAATTTCGTAGTTATTTGGCAATCTCATGTTATTTCGGATGCATGAATTGAATGCTCGAAGGGTAACGTTAATTTCTTGACCATTTATTACTCATTGATGAGGAATTTTTTACTAACTACGGTTTGAACGTGTACTCTAGAATATATATATATACCTCGTTTGTTTTCCTCTTCTCACTCTCTTCCTACGTTTTACCGGGCAGTTCTGTTTGTGACGATATATATATATATATATACATGTATATGTTTAATTCGTGTCAATTTTCTGCACCTCGGCACATAATGTTCCTTCCTGTTTCTTTCGCTTAGCGTAATTCACTATGGCTCTTTCGTGTTGAACCATTTTTTCGCTAAGACAGCGTGGGGCTCTTTGCAAAATTTTGAAGCCCTGCGCGGAGTCCGCGCTAAACGGATCTCGTTCCTTTGCAAATTTCCAAAGTCCCTTTGATCAACCTTCTGACGATCCTACGCTATGTCAGGAGTTTTGTATGAAAGCAATGAACTGCTTATCCCCGCTACTATACTGGCCTTTCTCACCTGTCTCCCGCACAATCGATTATATAGAATCTACTTGACTACTGCACACACGATCCCTCACCAGCGGATCGTACTTTCTGCTTTCTCAGAAC